CTGGCCCCCCGGGGCGCCGGTGGCCAGGAGAAGGGAGGAGGAGGAGAAGGGAGGTTTCGAGCACCCGCCGCTGGAAAAAAAAAATAATAAAATAAATCCAACCGAAAGATCGGCGGAAAAAAAAAAAAAAACAAAAAAAAAAACACCAAAAAAAAACCCCAAACCCCCCCAAAAAAACCCCAAACCGACCAAAAAAAACCAACAACAATTTTCGGGTGATGGACCGTGGTTCGGGGGGACGCGGTGGCGGCGGGCCGGAGGGTACCGAGTGCTAACGAAAGGCCTCTGCTTCGCTTCCAGCCGGGGCTCTGCGGGGCCAGGGGAAGGAGGACCCCAAAGCAGACGAGGATGCGAAAGGCAAGGAGGAAAGTTTCTCCATGGACAGCGATCTAGACTATAGCTCGGACGACAACATCCCCGGCCAGGCGGCTCACAAGGAAGAGGACTCTGGCAACGGGCTGGAGGAAAACCCCCAAAATCCCCCCAGTTCCGCCAACACCACGTCCACGGGCAAAAACCGGCGGAGGCGAACAGCCTTCACCAGCGAGCAGCTGCTGGAGCTGGAAAAGGAGTTTCACTGCAAAAAGTACCTGTCCCTGACAGAGAGGTCCCAGATCGCCCACGCCCTCAAACTCAGCGAGGTGCAGGTGAAAATCTGGTTCCAGAACAGACGGGCAAAATGGAAACGGGTCAAGGCGGGCAACGCCAACTCCAAGACAGGGGAGCCCTCCCGAAACCCTAAGATCGTGGTCCCCATCCCGGTGCACGTCAGCAGGTTTGCGATCAGGAGTCAGCATCAGCAGCTGGAGCAAGCCCGACCCTGATCTCAGGCTCAGAACCACAAGTTTTTTGAGGGAAAAGTTTTCAAATCGGGGTTTAAAAGCAACCCACTCGAAAAAAAAAAAAAAAAAAAAAAGAAGCAAAAGAAACCCCAAAAACAAACCCTAAAGCAACCAACAGCCAACAAGAACAAAATCCCACGCTAGCGCACGGCAAATCCCAGGCACCAGCGAACTTTAAAGCGAAACTTTCCACTTACCGAGAGGCTGCGAAGGAAAAAAAAAAAAAAGGCTTGGCGACTGTTTTGGTTCGAAGCAGGAATACCAAACCCTGGAAGAGACACACAGCTATTTCTTACACCGCTGCCCCTCTTTGTCCCTACCCGCGCTGGGGAGCAGAGATGCGGCGCGGTGGCGGCGCCGGATCCAGCGGCGATTTGCCCGTTGTCCTCGTCCCCCCCACCCCTTCACCGGCGGAGACATCCCCAGCGAAACCCGCAGCTCGCCTTTAGCCAGCTTTTGGGGGTTGTTTCTTACCGGGGGCGACAGGTAAAAAGCCGAAAGAGAAACAAATACGAACGCAAACTACGAGTTTCATTTCATGCCTTTTATATTGTTTGGGTTTATTTCCGATGGCTGAGTGGCAGGCACAGGGTGACGATTTTTTAAATATATTTTTTGCCTGGCTTTCTGTCGATTTGGTTTGCCTATTCTATCAAGCCATGTTTAAAAGAGAGAGAGAGAGAGAGAGAGAGAGGGGGTACAAACAAACAAACAAAAAGCACGATCTTCTCTATTGTGTTTAATTTATTTCAATGTAGCTTATTTCCTTATAAGTTATGAAATTTAAAAGCAAAATAAGTCTTGTGAATAAAAACCGACAAAGAAACAAAAAAGACAAAAAAAAAAAAAAATCCCTCCATCCCC